ATCGCACGCGACCGCCTTCGCGTCCTGCCGCCTGGGGCCCTCCGTGCCGGTCAGTGGGGGTAGAGTGCCTGCACTGCTGCCGTCAGTGGCGCTGGAGAGGGACTCGGCCGACGCATTGCGGCCGCGCAGCCTTCCCGTTTCACCTGTGGCAAGCCAGTAGGCCTTCCGAAGCTTCGCCACCTCCCTCTGCATGACGGGGCGGTGATCGTGTATCAACTCCTGCAGATGCTCGCAGGCTTGCAGGATGAGATCGAGGAGTTCGTGCATCTCCTCCGTTGTCGTCGGCTCCACAACGTAGTCCTCCGCCGGTGGGAGTGGCGTCGAGTCGTCGTCTTGGTGGCCGCCAGGCACTGCAGTGCCCTCGCCACCCCGCATCTCTTTGCTTTTTCCTCCCCCCTCTATCATTTTCTTTTGTTCCCTTTTGCGTGGCATGTAGCTTCTGTTTCCTTCTAATTAAGTTGTTGAAACAAAGGGTAAAGGCGGGAAGACGGTGTACTCTGTGTGCACAGAGAATATGACTGTGTACAGTGTGGTGCTTTCTTTACTATTGAGGCTTTTTCTAGCGCTGTGTGTGTGTGTGTGTGCGTTGGGTATGCGATAGAGGCGCCATATTGCTGCGGGCAGTTGGCAGCGCGTAAAACATCGCTGGTATGGGAGGCATGGATCAACTGAAGCTGCGTCAGGTACGCCATTGCATTATGTGTGCAAGATCTCCACGGGCCTGCCGTTTCTCATTCATTCTTTATTTTCCAGTGTTGCGTTTGCCTCTCCTCTCTTTTGGTCTTTTTCCACTGTCCCTGCCTTCGTAAGAGACTATAGCCGCGATGGTGGCAGCGAGGCTACCAGAACCTCCACCATGCCCTTTTGCTTTCGTTGCTGAGATGCTTCTCCATGCAAGTCATGTACGCTCGAAGCTCCGTCTGGCAGTGCATCAGAGCTCGTTTGGCGCTCGTGGTGTCGGTGGGATTTTGCATCACGGCCCTTTGCTCAAAGCAGGCAAAGAACAGCTCTGTCGGTGCGGAGCACTCCTTCACACTGGTGGGGAAGTAGTGTGGCAGCCGGGTTACAGGCGCATCCGTGCTGCTAGCAACGGCTGTCATGTCAGGCAACTAGGATGTGAGTTGCCCGCCTTCTTCCAGTGTCAAATAAATGCTAGCGACACTGTCAATTTTCTTCCTTTTTTTTTGTTTGCGTGCGTGCGTTTTGTCTTGTTTATGTGTGCGTCTGTATGTATCTTTCTCTTGGGGTTTCCTTTGCTCTGTGAAGGTGCAGGGTATATATATACCCTCATGAAGGCATGTGCGGGAAGGCGGGCAAAACGCTCACAATATATCGGCACACAAGCGCAACATCCATTTCATGTACGCGTGTAGCCCACAAAGACACACACACACAAAGACACCAAAAGGCGGGGTTGCAACGATAATGCGTGCAAACCATATATATATATATATAAACACCTGCGCCATGCATGAGGGACAGCAACATCAGCCCCAGTTGAAACAACAGAGCATATTGCCTTTTCTTCTCTCTCTATCTCTTACTCGTGTATTTCAACTCCTTTGTGTGACTCTCACTGCCAGTGGATGAGAGTGTTGGAAAGCTGTGCGCCACAGTCTCCGTCAAGAGACTCGTCCACCAAACGCGGCCGTGCCGTCCGGCTTCATCATCACCTTCACCTTGTCATTTACCTGCACCGACTCGTTGACGCTGACGAGGCCGTCACACTCCTTGAAGGAGGCCATCTTGTACATTCCCTTCAACGAGATCTTCTCGACAGTGTATGTGTAGCTGGACGGCATCACCACCTCTGCCCAGATGTCCTTCGCGTTGGGCACGTCGTCTTCGTCAGGGACGATGTGGAGGACATCAACAGGCATGGCGCAGGAAAGAAACTTCTGCTGCAACTCAGGCAGGGAGTCGCCGGGGATGTTCACCTCCTTCCCCGCATCAGCGGTGTGCTCCGGGTAAACAAAGCAGGCCATGTCGTCATCGTCAAACCCGCTGAAGAGGAGCCGCACCCGCTCCGCCCGGACCTGTGCAAAGTCATGCCCCTGTCCCGCCGTCACCTCCTTCTTGCGCCCAGTGCCCACCTCAACGAGTTTGATGTTGAATGAGGCGGCGTTCTGCCCCTTCTGCGAGCGGGTGTTGCCCACCACACGGTAGAAACGTTTATCGATCAGGAATATCATGCCAGCTCTTGCCTTGTCCGCGAAGACTCCACGCCGCGCACTGATGAGTGACGTGGAAGAGGACAAAAGGTGGTTGCCGCCGCCACCAATGACGCCCACACAGACGGAGGCCAAGTTCCGCCGCAACATGTCTAACCAGACGCACACGCACGCACACACAAACAAACTCCTTCCCACTTAATGCCACTTCTTGCCACCTTCCCCCCCCCTTTCTTTTTTCTTTGTACTGGGGATACACAGCCAAAGAAAAGAAGTGGCAAGCTTGTAAACCCTTTCGTTTGCTTTGCGTCCCAGTATCTCTGTGTGCCTGCTTTTCTATGGGAGAGACTCCAGTGGGTGTTCAGGTACACATGCAAAGAGGGGGAAGGCAGAAGAGACAAATACAGAAAGATAAACTACAGCTGTTTTAGCCTGCAAGCAGCCATGGGCGACAGAAAGTTACTGAAGCGTGATAGCAATGTGTGGGTTTTTTTTTTGCCCTTTTATTATTGCCGTTGTGGGTTTTGGAGGTGCGGTATCCGGGTAAATCTTCTCGTCCACATCAATGGCGAGAGCGCTTTTCCCTGCTCTCTCTTTCTCTCCTCCTCTTATCACCAACAACCTGATAAGTCGACATTCAACATGATTGATAATTTACATCCCACCCAAAAACAACAACAACAACACACACAAAGAGGAACCTGCACGTTTACCAATTTCCTTGTGGCCATTGTACACTTCTTCCTCCTTTGCCCTATGTCTCTCTCGTCTTCTGCACCTCTCCTCCTCACGTGGCTTCCACCTCATTGCTGCAGCTCCTCAAATACAGGCAAGGGCGCTTCGTGGGTGACACGTTTTCGTAAAAGTCTCCGCATGGGCCGCGGTCCTTTCCCAGCGTAGTCGCACACGTATCCCACAAAGTCCAGCATGATGCCTTGAACCTCAAAGACCTTCTTGAACCGTGTTCTGCTGAGAAAGCACTGCTCTGCCAGGAGGGCAAACTTGCGTGGCATCGACTCCCACACCGCATGTTTGATGACGCTCTCCACTGGGTCTATCAATTGCGCCGGGCTAGTGCAGACCTGCCAATTGACGACACCCTCCTCCACGGTCATCTTGGCCTGGGAAAAGCGTTTCACCTCAAAGTAGTGATCCACATATTGCGCCTGGAGCAGCGTCTGTGGCTGCAGCCGAAGCCGCTCGTTTAGGCTGACGTGCAGGTAGGTGTGCTTAGCGATGAAGCGGGCACAGTAGGTGAGCCTTTCAGCCTCGTTGCGCAGCTTCTTTACCATCATCATCACCACGGCGCGGTCGTCCTCAGGAATCATGGGATCCTTAGAGGAGCGATGCAGACAACCTTGCATGTCCAGCACAACATGTGTAAGCCCGTTGCGGTCTTCGTACACCTTAACCTCCTTCACGCGAAAGAAGGAAAAAAACGGCAGCAACCACTCCCGATCATACGGGTACATCGAGAGGTCACATGTATCCAACCCATCCACAGCATCGTGAATCTCGAATAGCACCGCATTATCTGGCACAGGGAAGGCCTCCTCATCTGTCCAGTTTACACCAGGTCGCGCCAAGGCAAGAAATGGAAACATGTACCACTCATTCTCAGGAGTTTCCCGTACGTAGCGAAGCTCATCCTGCGGAACCTCCTTAATACCGTAGTACAACACTGGCAACGATCGAGCCTCTGCATGCAGCTCCTGGGACGCAGCGGGAGTGCCAACAGCGAGAAGCAAAGTTGCGACGGTATGGCTCCACCTTTTTAGACCTTCCAGGTCACCCGTACGGAAGCTGCTATAGATTTCCTGCGCCAGCGACAGCTGAGGTAGTTCGCTGGTCAAGAAGGTACGAGCAACGTCGGTAGGCTCCATGGTGAAGAGGCGAATAGCCAACAACAGCGTCCCAGGAAGACTCGGATACAGGAAACCGTATAATGTACTCAGTACATCTTGAAAGAGAATAACGGCGCCAACCTTCACGCCCAGATTCTTTGCAATTTCACGGTAAAGAGCTAATGACTTCTTTTGTCGCTTGACTGATGCGATGGCCCCTTCCATAATCGTCTTTAGCAACAGCCCAAAGGCTTCGTAGTCGCGAAAGACGGAGACGGCAATGTGCCATTGGAGCGCAATAGGGTACGGGCAGCGGTCATGCGCGGATTCCCATATGTGATCCACCTCCTCAACGGAAAGCTCCTCGGCCACGTGTATGTCCGCCTCCTCTAGTCCACCTGCCTGATCGAGGCTAGCCATAAGCGTTTTGTACTCCTTAATCTCATCCGCCACAGGTCGCTTTTTCAGCTCAGTGGAGGAGATGAATACCTGCTTCGGTATCTTCCCACCATCGGCGTGCCTCACCACACCACTTATCTTAAGCTTGGAGGAGTTCTGTGGGAGTTTGTCCGGGGATACCAGCCTTAGCGAACGCGGAACATCGATCATCACAAGTTGCTGCGCCTCCACGCGGCGAACACACCGAAGCAACAGCAACTGCTTCCCAGGTCCCTTGCCTTTTTTCCCCCCCTCACCAGACCAGTAAGCACGAAAGTAGCGTGGCGATGCCACCATGGTTTGCATAGGTGCGCTCTCGGGTGTGAAAAGTGAGGCTCTACCGCGAAATCCAGGCAGCTGCACCTGAAGCATGTCCCCCTCGACAAGCGGGACGGTGCAGCGAAACTGAATGTTGAGACTCACCTCCACGCGTGGGATGGCGGGGGTAATCACTAATGTCGTGTCCAGCAGCTCCGCGACGTTCACCTCCGTCGGCTCAACGACACCCGCAGCCGCCCCCACACTGTTCGACAGCGACAGCGTCGCAAAGACGTCAACAGGCCCCTTCTTTTTGCCCCTTGCCATGCGCACGCGATTCTAAATAATTCCCTCCCGTGTTCGTTCGCACCTCCTGGCAGCCGCCAAGCGTGTGAGGTAGCAAATGCGCTTATGTTTATTTTTTTATTCTTATTTTTGTCTTTTTTTTTTTCTCTCCCTCCACTTACTCACTCACTCACTAGGTGTGTGTGTGTGTGGTGTGTTGCTCTGAGTGCAGCAACGGCAGTGCTGACGGCTAAAGGGATGTAAGGGAGAAGAAGACACATGAGGAGAGATAGTGACAAATAGTGTGAGTGCAGAAGGATGTCAGCCGAAATGGGGGGCAAGTGTTAGTTTCTTCTGGAAAAAGGAAAACTGAGGTGTTTTAGTTTTGTTGTTCTCTCCGCCACAGTAACAGTCGTAAACACGAGGAGAGCAACCATCACTGGCGGCCGTGGACACACACACACACAGACACACACACCCAAAGTCGCTCCCACTCTCTCTCTCTCTCTCTATCTAACTGTTTATCCCACGCTCGCTATCTGCCTCTCTCTCATCCCCCGCCTTGTTGTTTTTATTCTGCATCCTCTCTGTACGTGACGGACGCGTTCACGCGGTGATAGTTCGTGGCAAAGGTGCGCAGCCTGACCTCGCTGCTGCCTGGAATCAGGCGCGGCTCGCTAATCTCCCACGCGTTGGACGGAAACTCCACGTCCATCTCAGTGTACACAAGGATGTCAAAGACGCAGCCCTCCGGCAACATTGGCAGGTACGACACTGAGGAGGTGATCTGTCGCATTACTGCCTGGATCTCACGCTGGAGCTCCGCCTCCGTCTTTGCAGTTGCACTCGTTCCGCCGGTGGGCTCCGCCACGATGTCAAAGGCCCACCGCTCCACCACCGTGTTGTAAGCGCCGTCCGCGACGGTCATCACCAACTTGCGCACCTTGTCGGCCGCCACCCACCCCGCCACCTGCTGCAGCAGCTCAGTAAGGTAGGCGTTGAGGTCGCTATCCGTTGAGACCATCAGCGGGACGTTGTAGCGCTGCACCTGCTTGAAGTCCTCCTGCGGGTACACCCCCCGCTGGTGCAGGATGCTGTAGATTGCAAAGCCCAGGAACTCCGTGACAGTCGCCACGCTCCCCTTAAAAGTAATTGTTTGAACCCCCTCCGTCATTCTTGCAGTCCCACCCTATCCGTCTCTCTCTCTCTCTCTCACACACACACACACACTCACACACGCGCTCTCCAAGTCTCTCTGTGGGTGTGTGGTAGATGGATGAACACGCTCTATGTTGCTTTTGTTCTCTCTCTCTTTCTGTGTGTGGAGGGGAGGGAAAAGGGGACCGGGCTTCCTGCTGGAAGAGGCTGGGCATGGAGGAAAAGATATTGGCGCTGACAGATACAACTGAAAAAACCGGAAAAAGCAACAAGAGGAGAAACCCCGCCGACTCCCCCACACACCGAAAGCAGCACACAAGTCCAGCGGCAACGTGACGGTCAAACCGAGGAGATGATGTGCGGCTGCAACGTATTCGTCACATACACGCATTACCACACAAAAGAAACACTTATGCGCCGCGAAAAGAAAAGAAAACTGTGTGAGAAAAACCCAGGGATCACACACCACTGCTTGTGCCCATCTTCAGTCAAGACGGCGTTTCGCATGCTGCAGAGCATTCCGAATGTACGTCCACTCCACCACACAGTGGTGAAACCGGTGGAGGTCCTTTTGCTTCCAATGCGTCTTTGCCTGGTCGTAAAATTCATCGTAGCGCTCCTCCAGGTGCGCAACGAGAAGCTGCAGCCTCGCCTTGCCCTCCTCCTGTGACCCATCAGAGGAGAAAATCGTTTCATTCACCGCCATCATTTCCTCAAGAAACGCAGACGAAAGAGACACGGGATCTCCTGCTCCACCCCCCATAAGTTTTCGGTTCTCTTCCATGTTACGACAATCATCATTGTCCATGAGCGCCTCCTCTTCAGCCGGCGTCAGTAGGGCCCCCTTTACCTTCCCTGCGCGGCTCAGGCGCGCCAGGTACTTGCACCGCAGAAATGGATCCCGCAGGGTCTCGTAGGCAACATTAGCATACTTGGATTCATCAGCATCCGCCACGCCACCTGCCGCCACATTTTTTTCCCTTTCCAAAGCCTGTACAGGCGTCGCTCCAGACTGCTGCTGCTGCTGCTGCCGTTGTTGTTCTTGTTCAACCTCTTTGGCCTGAACGTTGGTTTGGTCCGGGTGGACGCGACGCTGCAGATTGTGGTACGCGTGTTGCACCTCCGCCACGTTTAATTCCGGGTTCAGCTGCAGGCCCAGGTAGGCAAAGAAGTTGCCACGACCACCGTCCCGCACGAGGAGCGTCGTGTGCAGGAGGCGAGTCGCCGTCGTCATCGCTGTCCTTGGCGCCGCCAGCAGGGGCCCTAAGGAAGCGACACGAAACATAATCCACCACGCGCTCCTTCACGTCTGTTAGCCAGTAAATGAATATATATATATATATATATATATATATTGTTGTTATTTCCCCCGTCCCCTCCTTCACGCTCTTGGTCTTGCTGCGCCTCTCTTGTCGCCCTCACTTCCACTCCCACAAGGCAGTGAAAATGGCTCCTACCAACACGTAGAGAAGGAAACAAACGAGAAGGAAAATACACGACGCAGCTGCATGGGTGCTGGTGGTTGTCAGGAGCAGCGCCCCACTCCAACGCCTTTCCCCACCTCAGCAGCAGCCGTGAAAGCACAAGACGCAGGCGCACACATAAAGCAAGTGGTAAAAATACATGGCCATACACGGCAACGCGAAACGCAAGAGGGGAAAAAAGGTTGCAGCACCAACCACACCTCCATACACACAGATAGTGACATACAGAGGAGGAGAGGGAGAAAGAGAAGGTAAGAGGAAGTGGAAGGGGCAAATAAGTCGAGCTACATTAGCTACGCAAAAGAAGTCAACGGCGTTTGCGAAGAGGAAGCTGCTCGGGTTCGAAAGAATGAGCCCACCTCCTGCACTTCGTGCATCGCAGTACTTTCCAGCGGCACCAGACGGGTTAAAGACTCCTCTTTCGTCATACCTGCTATTCCCAGCGCCTTCATGAGTCGCTCATAATGCATAGATGCAATCTGCGCCTTTGCAAACCACTCCCTTGCGGCTTCTTCAGAAGCTCCATCAACACCCTTCGACGCAGTCTCGGTGCATTTCCTCTGAAAGAAGGCAAGTCGGTTCTCCACAAACGGCAGGTAGCGCACGATATCCAAAAGGATAGAGCTCAAATTGAGGCTAAGCGTCTTCATCGCAGCGGGGAATAATGACATCGATGTGGCCCTGGGTGACTCATCCATGCCTGGTATGAACTTGGACGTCCCATGACGCTCCCCCTTGACGCGCCCTTTTATAGCGGAGCGTCGCGCTCGCCGAGGGCTGATGGGTGGGGGTCTCTCCTCCCCTTTTTGGGGATCATCGGAGGACTTCGTCTTGTTTTTGCTCATGTACTCTTTGGTGAAGGCCTCCGAGACCAGGTCAAGGTCGAGGCTCCAAATGCCGCTATCATCGTCGAGCATGTTCATCACTCGCACAAACGTGGTCCGTTCAGGTGGTCCAACCTCCACCGTTGTAGCTGTCAACACTGTTGGCAGCCGCTGCCGTAGCGCGGCTGCTGCAGTGACAAGAAGCGAGGCTGTGCCACTTGCCACGGCGCGTGCGTTTTCAGTCTGCCGGGATTTATCTTTTTTTGTCTGCTTCTTCAAGAGCGATGGCTCCTGCACCGGGAGGGCATCCGCGGCGTTCGTCATAAACTGCCCCTCCAACGCACTAAACTCGGTTGGTAGAAAAAATGACATGGCCATCAGGTAAAGGTACTCCAGCTGCTCCACGGCATTCATTGTCATTGTTTGACCGCGCATTAACATGTGTTCCCATGGCTCTGGTACCAAGGCATCCTTTTCCTGCTGAATACGACGCATTAGCATCGCCTGTCTAGACTTCCCCCCCACCACACCCTCTGGTTGCTGCACCAACTCCCCCACATGACTCAACACGTTGTCCATACGCCCCAGCCGACGTGTTTCTGGCAAACACAAGTGATTTTGTCCAATCCGCTTCTTCACAACTCCTAAACGACCCAGCAGAGCGTCATACATGACACTGTGGTCGCTTTGACCTGCAGTTTCTGGTGGGAGTTGCGGCAGTTGCTCACGGTCAATAGCTAAAGCGACGTCCACAGTGTTAGGCGCCGCCTTTTCCGTCTGTTCAGTCGCCTGTTGACGCGCAAGATACGACCGAGGACGTACAGACTCGAGACGCTGTGTGACAGGTGGTGCCTCCGTCAAATTTGTCTTCTGCAGGGCTTCCATTGCCTTGAGGAGTGGCTCGCACTTATCCGCAGAAAACGGCATGCCCTGGCGGGAGAGAGCCCACGTCGCGTGAAACGCTTCATATTTACTTTGTAATTCTCGCTGCGCCATAGCGCGTGCCCGTGCCTCTCTTTGCGGCCGTTGCCTCTTCACCTCGTTGTCGCGCCGCACCCTCTCCTCAAGAAGGCGCTCACATGCGGAGGGCTGAAACAGAGTCCGACGAAGTGCGGCGTCCTCCGCGGTGTCTCCGGTTGGCACATACGTGCGAAGAAATGCTACCGTACTTTTTCCCCTCTCTCCCCTCAGCTGTTTCCCACCAACACCGGTCACATTCGCCTGCGTCCGCGGTGATGGTGTGGACGACAACTGTTGGCATAGTGGCGGAAAGCTCGCTTTCCGTGTGCTCCTCGCTGCGGGGTCCGCCGCATTCCCACCCTCCTCGTCTCTCTTCTCCACAGAGAATTGCACCGTCGATGTCACCTGCGGCAACCGTGCCACGGGTTCCGCCGGTGCCACTGCGTTAACCGCGCCACTGCGTTCCAGAGACGTCTGACGATACGTGCTTGTGGCGCGTGCCGCGAAGTACGTTGCCGCCTCCTTGCGTTCCTCGTCTCGCACCACGCGACGGTCCAGCACCTCGAGGTGGGGATGCTCGTAAATCAAAAAGAGGCGGTATCCCACTTCATCACAGAGCGGGTTCCCACGCAGGTCTAGCTCGCGAAGACACCGAAGTGGCTTTAGTTGGGCAGAGACGGCGCTGAGGTCGCTGAGGCGATTGTGTGCGAGAAACAACACCTCGAGTTGTCGCAGTTGGCTCACATCCCCGTCAAGCGTCTGCAGGCAGTTGTAAGAGGCGTAGAGGCGTCGCAGGAGGCGACAGCCGCGGGATGCGCTGTACGCCGTGCCAGCCACATTACTCTCCTCCTGCGCTCCAGAGGAGGAAACGGCACCACGGGAATTTCGAGGGGGAATCAAGAAGGCGATCTGTCGCAGCCGGTTATGGCGTATGATAAGTGTGTCAAGGTTTTTTAATAACTGTACATTGCTGTGCAGCCGCGTGATGCCTTTGCAGCACAGCGTGAGCTCCTTCACTGTGTGAAACCGCGAGCGTGGAATCTTCAGTGCCCGAATGGGGTCCAAACACACCTCTTGTTCTTCTGTCGGGTCCACATACGGCGGGAAGGCCTCCCATTCGCTGTTGCTATACGACGTGACTTCCGCCATTGTTTGCTCTTTCTCTTCTTCTGCTTTTGTTTGGCTGCTACACGTGGTGCCGGGGCGTCTGGCACTATTGCCTTTGCCGGCCGGGGCGACCCGCATGAACCCCTGCAGCGACTTCTCATGCCACTTGCGTAGGAGATCAGGGTACTTCCGGTTCAGTGACGTGTACATTCGTCCGCTGCCCCACACCGCCAGAGAGAGAGAGAGGGAGTGAAGGAATAAAAGAAGGAAAATGCTCATCACGTCAGTACAAAACAGTCAAACAGTTCTCATTCAAGCAACACTGGTAGCAGTAAACACACAGACACCCAATGAGGAAAGAAGGAAAAAAAAATCAAAAAGGGAGGGAGTTCCACCGCATTCTTTTCTTAACTGCAATCGACACCGTTGTCGCTCCCTGCCTCTTCGAGCACCTTCATCACTCCACTGCGTCCGCAGCACGCGGCACACATTCCACCGCTGGCAGGTTTCGCCCTCGCCACGACTTGGCGCTCACCTTCGCCTCCTCCACCGTGTCGACGGCCGCCACGCAGACCACATCGCTCCCGCGAATCATCATCACACCCATCGCCAACTCCTGCATCTCGCCACCGCCACTGTTGCCATCACTACGTAGTGGCTGTTCGTGTTGCGGTGACCCACCCGCATTCTCCCCCGCCTCGTCAAAGACACGCTCCACGCAGGACGTGAGCACAAGGTTAAGCAGCTGGTCGGCGGTATGCAGCACTCCCACGAGGTAGCGGCCATCCGTAGTGATGACCGAAACCCGCCTCCTCAGATAATGCTTCAACATATACTGAAAGGGACGAAAGTATATAAAAAAAGAGCTACATACGCAAGAGAAAAGACAATAAATAAGAAGGAGAAGCGATGCATGTATAACGGCTTACAAAGATATGCAGGCATACAAGAGCATGTGGCGGGTCATTCCGGGGGAAGAACCCTAAAAAACGAGAAGAGAGAAAGGACCCCACTCCCTCTCAGGAGAAAATAAGTTTGGAATCTCTTCCTACAGAATGACACCAAACAAACAAAAACACACAACAAAACTACATGCCCCCACACATGGCCTAACAGAGAACACTCAATAAAAAAAGAAATTAATTACCAGAGAAAAAAAAAAAGGGGAAGAGGGAACAGAGCCCTGCGGGTGCCTCTCTGTAGGATTAGAAAATAAGTGCATGAACGGGGGACAGTGAGAGAGAGAGAGAAAGAGAGAGAGAAAGAGAGGTGGGTGGAAAGTCGCAACGGCCCGTCCTCCAGCGTCGCAGGAGAACGCATGAAATCGCATGCGTTTTCCCCTCTCTCATCTTCCCCCTTTTTTTTTGCCGGCTTTGCCCATCACGCCCCCCTCCCTCCTCCCACAAACTTCCCGCAGCACATAAACCCGCCGTCTGCACCGTGCGCTCCGCACCCCCCGTCATCTCCCTGGTGGCGTGCGAGATACCGAAGCCCCCTCGCTCCCTCTCTCACCAATAATCCTCTTGTGTTTCCTCGTGGTTTCCGCACATCTTTTCTTCGCGTCTTTTTTTTTTTTTTGCTTTTACCGCTTGTGTGTTTTCTCCCGCGATGACATGTGTAGACCGGAATGTGTGCGTGCTTGATTACAGTTGGGGCACCTCCACGTTGTCTACGTTCCTTTTTTTTTGTTTCTTTCTTCCTTGGACTCCCTCGTTTTTCCTTCTTCCGGTCTCATTACCTCGTCCCCTTCGTTCCTTCCCTCCTCCCAGGATGATTCTTCCCACCTCGCAAACCCCCAACTCCTGCTACCGCACCGTAGACCAGCAAAAAAAATAATACAGAAAAACAGTTAGTGCCTACACCTCAATATCGCTACACAATGACATCCTTTTGCGGGTTTAGCTGTTTTATTCTGATTTACTTCTCTTTATTGTCTCCTCCGCCTCCGCCTCCTTGATCAACGCGAAAGCACCTACTGCCGCAGTCTGCCTTCACCCCCCCTCCGCAAAGACATGCATAAATGCATGTACCGCTGCGTGTGCGCATGTAAGAGACACAGAGAGAAAGAGATAGAGAGGTTATCGCCGCACGTTGATGTATGCACCCCCCACAGTGTCCCATTGAACCCCCACATAAACGCACGCACGCCACTTCCCTCCCAACATTGCAACGCCGCAGGCGCCGAACAGCCCACCTTCGCACCCGTCTCTGGTGGTTACTTGTTTCCGTTCTCGGCTAATTTTTTGCATCTTCTTTTTTTTTTGTTTTTTTAATTATTTTGATTTTTTTTTTGTTGGCCTGTCAGCTCTTTCCCTCCCCCTTTAATTCTTATTATTTTTCTTCTTTCCTTGCTGTTGTTTGTTCGTGGATATATGGAGTGCCGCGCCTAGCTGAGAATGCGGTGGGCTACGGCAAGAACGTCTGACACCTGCGGCTGCGACGCCGCCTCCAGCTCCTTCGCGTACGGCGTAGGGCAGTCGGCGCACGACACGCGTTCCATGGGGGCGTCGAGGTAGTCGAAGGCCTCGCTCTCCATGACGATGGCGCAGATCTCCGCGCCGATATTGCAAACCGGGAAGGACTCGTCCACCGTCATGGCGCGGCCCGTCTTCTTGATAGACTGAATGATCGTCGCCCGGTCGAGGGGGCGGAGGGAGCGCAGGTTGACCACCTCCGCCTCGACACCCTCCTTGGCGAGCTGGTCCGCCGCCTTTAGGCAAAGTTCCACGCCGCGCGAGAAGCCAATCATCGTGATGTCCTTGCCGACCCGCTCAATCTTTGCCTTGCCCCACGGAATGAGGAAGTCTTTCCCCATGGCCTCCTCCGACACCTCAAAGGACTCGCCGTACATGAGCTCGTGCTCAAGCATCACAACCGGGTTGTCGTCACGAATGGCCGTCTTTATCATCCCACGCGCATCCTCCGCGCTGTACGGCGAGAACACCTTCAGCCCCGGCACTGAGGCATACCACGGCGCAAAGCACTGACTGTGCTGCGCCCCAACGCCCGCAGAAGCGCCGTTGGGACCACGGAACACCACCGGACACATCAACTGACCACCGGACATGTAATGCCCCTTCCCCGCAGAGTTGACAATCTGATCAATCGCCTGCATCGCAAAGTTCATTGTCATGAACTCGCACACAGGGCGCAAGCCACTCAGTGCAGCACCGACGGCCATGCCAGCGAAGCCGTGCTCCGTGATAGGCGTGTCAATCACGCGCGAGGTGCCGTACTTGTCCAGGAGGCCCTTGGTCACCTTGTAGGCGCCGAGGTACTGACCTACCTCCTCACCAAGGATGAACACCTTCTCGTTGCGCTCCATCTCTTCGTCGAGGGCCTTGTTGAGTGCATCACGGATCGTTAACGTGGTCGTCACCGCCCGGGTTGCGACGGCGGCGGAGAGAAATGCGGTGTCTGCAAAGCGGCGCATAACTCCAAAATTTTTTCCGTTACAAAAATTATTATTTTCTTTTTCGTTTCTTCTTTCTGTCTTAAGCCGTCAAACTGTGCACAAGCACTGTGACGCCTGCACGCGTGAAGCTAATTTTTGAGAGGGAGAGAACAAATCAAAATAATTCATAAAGTGACGAAGGAAATAAACAAGGCAGCAACGAAGTAAACACCCCGCCCCCCTTTTCCAGCAGAAACAGTCGCAAGAACAAGAACAATAATAATAAAAAAAGAAATAAAGAAAGAAAGGCACTTAAAAATATAAAACGTATTTTTTAGTTTTCCTCCCTCCCTCTCTCTCTCTCTCTCTCTCTC